TCGGTTGATCATAAACAACGTAGAGCCTGGACATGAATATGTCTTTTTCCAAGTTGTCACACCAAATCAGCACAAGATGAGATACGTAGTAAAAGAATTCCAAAAACAATAACAAAGATATTACAATTAATATCATTGGACTAATTACCTTGTGTTTCTGCAAAAATTCATCAGTAATAGACCAAGGAGCATCATTTATAACTTCATCCACATAACGACAATGTCGTATAGCTTCATAACGCTCTTTCTCATTCATGACTGTACGACCCTTATAATGGTGAACATCTGCATCGTTAGAGACTGGGATAAAATTGCAGCAAATGAATCAAAGTAAGAATCAATCAGTACAAATATTTATTGAAAAAATTAAATGGTATCATTTGTCTATCAGAAAATAAGTTACAAAACGTAACTTGGTAGTCTTACATGTCACTTCATGCCTAAACTTTAAGCAATACCTAACGGGTGGACTGAAGAGAACAGTTTACTGTCAAAATTAAACCTTCTTTTATTGATGTAACTAAATGAAATCATGATTAAATGCTAACAAAGTTTATAGAGATTTATCATTGTCACTTTAAAATTATCTCTTAAGATGTTTTACTACCAATAATGAAATCAAACTTACCACCAACAATAAGGTAAGTGTCAGGGAAGGCACACTTCGCTTGCATCAACTGACGAGCATGGCCAGAATGAAACATATCATATGCTCCATCAGCATACACACGGACTGGTCTAGGAGCTAAAACAACAAGACAGTAAAAAATGTATGAGTTTTAGTTGAGGTTTTTCGGAGGAGTAACGACAAGGTTTATGCATATGGATATATAGTTAACTGCACAATATAAATTACCATTAATTTTAACATGGAGGTTTTTTGTCTTCGCTTTAGTCCTACGCTTTTGAATTATTTTATATTTTTTTCCACGGCCTCACATTTTCCTTCGCAATAATATTTTCAATATCCAATCTTCTCTACTACCAATAAACTTTTGCGACCTCTACTACTCCAATATCGTATCTTGCTGTACTGATATGGTGTGGCAATTTGAAATGATGTACATATGTCAAGCTCCACGTTGCGCATGACTGACTGGCTCAGTAGTTAAGGCATTTAACGTTTAGTTATTGATTTCCAGGCTCGAAGCCTGCTTCACATATTTTGGCTTTCAGCATTCACGTAGTATCACTAGCCTTTACAGTATGGTTCGAAGCCAAGTACACTTATCTGCACCTCGTAAATGAGCTAAAATGAATACTGTCAATTTAATTCATGGAATACTTCTACCAAATACTTGCCAGAGATACCATAATTAGTAGGTGTACATGTAAACAAAAGCAATAAGAAATCTGTGAGCTGAAGCGTGGATCGCATCGTAAGTCATAACGAACTAATGGTAATAAGTCATCTCGTTCAACGTGTTTCTAAACAGCATTTACCAACATAGGTTTACTACAAAGATGTTAACTAAAACAGGATTACATAAATAAAGATGGTTTTGTCAACATTTATGCACTACATTGATTAATTAGCAGAGTAAAAACCCAACGAAGGAGCGAAAGTATGTGAAAATGAACAAAAATTTAGTAAACAAAAGATAAATATACATAAGCCCCAAGTATGTTTAAGTTTCGAAATAGATAAAGAACGACAGAGCATGTGCTGCTATATCGTAGTTAGAAGTTGCGTATATGTAACAACGGATATAGTAATTCATCAATTTTTACCTTTCGATGACTGTGGAAAGAAAATTTACATTTACGAAATATCAACCGGTAGCTTTATACGCTGATGACATTTCTAGGGGGTGACTATATTTCCCTCTTTCAACCTAATTTCACCTACGTCAACACTACATATCGAGGCGATGAAGCCTTAACAGAGTTGCAAATTTAACATAGAATGTAGAACAGTTGGTTAATTATAAAAAATATTTGAAAGCATAAGTTAAGGAACAGATTCTGTTCAGTCCCTTATTTGTTATATTTCTGTATCTCAGGTTATTCGTTTAGATTAATATATTTTGGATATCAGAGAAGTATTTTATTTGAAGTTCATATTATTACCGCAATAAAAATAACCAAAAAGCATTTTGGATTTATTAGCACTGTGTATAGTTTTTCTGTTAATTGTTACTAATTTATCCATTTTAATGACGACAACAACAACAGATAGTTTGCATTAATGGTGTAGACGCTTAAATTGCTGAATTTCAGTTACTACTGGGTTTTCCTACCATTGTATCGTGATTCGATGTAAGCTAGACCACCGTTAAAAGTTTGGAAGCTCTACACGGCCGTTTTCTCCTAGTATGGAACTACGATCCCGCGTGCAGGACTCTGACCCAAGACCTTTGGTCTCGCACGCGAACGCTTAACCTCTAGACCACTGAGCCGGAATACAACGGCGTTAATGTCTAACCTCAATCGATCCATGGTCTTGTATAACCATTCATCTTTTGTCTGAGGTAAATACCTGTCTCTACACGACACGGATTGTACTCCACTGGTCACGGGTCCTCACTAGAACTCTAGGAAACCCATCTTGAAGTCAGTCACTAGTGAGCACATGATTGTTATTAGAATAGGGGTTTGTGGAGATTGTAGTGGTTTTAATAGTTGAATTCATAAGTCGACTAGGTCAATGTGTAAAATAATTAAAATTGAAAAAGATGCAATATTTATCAGAAGCATATAGAAGGGTGAATGTGTTTGTATGAATTTAAACAGAAATTACGTATATTTAGATAAAGAAAATTAAGCAAAATATGACTCTACCTTTACCAGATTTAGCCATTTCTAAAGTAATTTTAATTGTATAATCGCATGCATGGTTTGCCGCCATAGCTAATGGTTCGTACCAAAATGGAGCAGGGGAACGATATGCCAAGGAATGTAAAGTTAACTGAGGTAGTAAATTATTATCACTAGTTATTAATGAATGATTTCCAACCTTAGTCTCATTGGAAGTAACATTATCCAAATTTGATGTAGTAGAGCACGATACTTCAGATATATGTATGTTATTATCGTTATTCTGAAATGAATTAGATTGTGTTTGTTCTGTGATTTCGGATACTTTAGAAGTTGTTAAGTTATCTGTTGAGTCTTGAACGGATGATTCTTCATTAACGTATGTCCCGTGATAATTATATTTCCCACCATCTATAGCTTCAGCAGATGATTCATGATCAGTTGATATGATAGGAATCATTTTACAATAATAAAAGCCAAGTATTTTAACTGTGTCTACGTAAATTATGCAGAAAATAACTGGGTATCAATAGTCTTCTTAATCTGGTTGGATTACAAAGGTCTATATAATTAAAAATAATAATTTATATTAGAGTTGCAGCATTATACTCAAATTTCATACAATCAACAAATACATAGAACGAACTACAAAATACCAATTGGTATTCTATACTAATACGATATTGCAGAGGTGAGATTATCTCAGTTGTTAATATGTGGAGGAGGAGAAGGAGCAATAATAAAAATAACGCCATTTCAAAGTTAAATGTCTAAAGAAATAAGTCTTACATCATTTAATACGGGTTGAAATTTTATTTTCTCTTAATTGAGTTATTAACACTTATATGTATTACAGATGGACGTGGAAGATAACATTGTGTTCACTTTTTAAAAACATAATTACGACATAAACTAGCTATTTTATTTTCAAAAGATTTTAGTTGTTTATTTACTTAAACTAACGACAAAAAGAACTTTATTAAATTATTACAATTCAATGTTTATTCAATTAGTGCTTAAAGTAATGTTAATTTACTGAATTTTTGAGTAAATATGAACAATGATATCTATTAAGAACAGATAAACTTTATGAGAGAAATCTAGTAAAAATATGTAACATATTTATAAGTAAACAATTAAACTCAAGTAAAACTAGGGTGTATTGTAATTGTAATGAGTATGTACAAATTCATTATCACTATAAGACATATTTGGCACGGTGAGTAATGGACAAATGACATTTATAAAAAAAAATGTGTAAAATTTTTACTCAATAGTGTGTAAGACTAAGATTACGGCTATGCAGTTACAGATATGAGTTTTGATTCATCTGCTAAAATGTTTCTGAAGTATTGGACGGTTTGTTAGAATATATGTTTACAATAGCGATTACTTTTTTTAAGAACGAGGGCTAAGTTACGTTCACATAAAATAAGCTAATTTTTAGAATTGTACATCTCGATATTTAGTTACGAGTCTGACTGGAAAACTCATGACGAAGTTACAGTCAGCGACAAACTAGATAATAGTCAGGTATGGGTTAGTATTAATGATAATCTTAGGTCGACTTCAAATATTGTAGGATTTTGGAAATGAACATGGTTATACAATTAGTTGAGGAATGACCGATAGGGAAATATATGTATATAGAGTCAATGGAAAATGGTTAGCAGTGAAATCTAGAACACGCGTTTCGTCATACCTGCGACTCGTCAAGAAGAACATATACCAACAACTGATCACACTTCAGCTTAAATATTAACAACAGGGCAATTTAAGCTACTAAAAACTAAATAAAATTTAATACGCCCTTATTATTAATCGATTCAGGTTTCTGAAAACCTATTAGGTCCCATTTGGAACTGAAGTTCATTGGTTTTCGTATTTAAAGTACAATTACTGAGTCAGAAAAGTGTACCCCGGCTCTAAATGCCCAATTTTAAGGAAGAAGTTAGCACAACTAAACTCAAAAACATGTTTCTTATATAGTTTATCACATTAACATATAGGTAGTCGATTAGACATTTTTATATAGCATATTAATTCAACCTTATAACATATCTAATTAAAATGTAGACTATCAACAAAGGGATCTAGGATGAACAAATAGTATAGAAAACAGCATCACAAAATTAAACCATAAGACAGAAAAACAAAGAAAAACATTAACATCTAGTGAAAATAGGTGTATATTTACAAAAGTCTGAAAAGAACACAATAATGTGCAAACTAATTGAAAGATTTTAGGAAGCTGCAATAATACTCAATGGCTCTTGTAAATTTTGTACTAGAGCATTCATCTTAGCTCGTAACATTCCCAAACCCACATCTTTGGAGGCATGGAGGCAAAGAAGAACTGACGCTACACGTGTAATTATTAGTCTGCCTTCAGACAATTTCAAGATTATTTCCTGGACAGTATCCTAAAAGTAAATAAGTAAGAAAAATATTGTGTTTTAAATAATTTTATCACATGAAATATTCACGGCATAATTGGCATCAAGTTTTTAAATAAAACGTTTCACTTACTTATGAGTAGTAAAGTTATGGGAAGTAACTTCTGAAGCACTGATAACTTAAATTCACGACATATTATGTCTGGGAATATCTGGTAAGGCGAGATTTGGCACTTAAATGATAAGAATGAATATATATATATATATATATATATATATATATATATATATATGGGAGGAGATAAACAGGTTTGTATACTTGCATACAGACCATGATTATTATACGAGATTTATTATAATTACCGACAACCTAAACCTTGAAGTAGGAACGAAGCCCATAACCTAGTGTTGGAATGTATAGCCTACAAACAATAGAGTGGATGCACCTGCGCCATTGCAAACGATTTTGAGCTATATCGTTTAAGGTCTTTAACCATCGGTTGCTATCATCTCGCGGATCCCAACAGGGTAGTCTGCACCTACCAACATAACTCAGTCCACTTGTCAGTGACTTCATGGATTTGTGCCATGTTTTGGTCTGGCCGCCCCTAGCTTTCTTCTAAACTATTCCTCAGAATCGATCACAATGGCGTCGGTGTATACACTCCCTGTCTTCCCTTAAACTACGAGACTAAAATCACTTCATATCTTTCTTTCTACGAACTAATTCTTTCTTCCTATACTATATCCTTATTGCAACCTTTGACCTAACCACTCCTATGAATCCGCTGTTCATCTTGCTGTGCTAATGAGGTATGGCAACCTGGACCGATGCACATATGTGCCTGGTCCTACGTTGTAGCTGACTGACTGACTGACTGACACCATAAAACATCGCACGTTGGGGCAGTCGGTGGTTGGGCATACGTAACACGTGTAACAGCCATCTCAACTGATGAAGTTTCACTACTTCATCAATTGATTTGCCACTCTTACCTAGTACCCGTGTCCTAGCAACTACAGTACTTTGTCATCTAACCTAGTATATATTAGGAAACATCGCCCGTCGAGGTACATGGTGGCTAAAAAATGTCCTAATTACCCCAATCGATGAAGATTCACGACCACACCAACCAATTATTAAACAATCCAATACTAAGATACACAAATGGCGAGTAGTAGAAAACCAATATTTTACGTCAGTTACAACGTAGAACCCGGTACGTATGTACATTGGTTCAAGTTGCCATACCCCAATTAGCACTGAGATGAAATTTTCAGACCAAATCCCAGAATAATAGAGGTAGTAATAGTATCAGTGGCAACGGAAAAGATCAGACATGAAAGATATGATCTAAGGAAACACAATTAGTGAAATAAAAATTGTGGAATTCAGAAGCTTAGAACTTGAGGAAAGAGAATGGACGCACTTGCGACATTACAAACGATTTTGAGCCATATCATTCAGTCTTTAAACATTGGTTATGATAATCACACAGACCCCAACTCGGTAGTCCACATTTATTAAGATGGCTTAGTCTAGTTGTCAGCGACTTCATGGACTGGTGTCATGTTTTGATTTGGCCACCCTTAACTTTCAGCCTACTCCTACACAAGACAATATCGACCGTCGAGGTAGGAGATGGGTGGACATATGTAACACATGTCCCAACTACCTCAGTTGATGAAAATCTACCACATAATCGATCGATTTACCCTCTTTACCCAGAACCCTATTCCCAACCCAGAGACTGGTTACTCGGTGGTCCCAAAATACATGAATAGTGCTTCAAAGACAACTATAATAGAATACCAGTAACTCGAGAAGGCTTTATATCTTTAATGGCCATGTTTCACGCTGATAAAGTAGAACACAGCTGACTGCTGAGCAGTAAACTCGTCTTTCGGTTGGAAGACGGATATCTCCCCTACGCCACAATTGATTGAATTTGGCAAAAGCCGATAGGGTCTTCTGAATCCGTGGCAGGGTTTCGTCAGACACCAGACCATCAGGACTGATGAGATAGAAGAAGCGGTTGATGCATCTAACTGCTTCACTCCCTGCCATTGAATAAGGGAATGTCACAAGCAAATCCCGAAGCGACATTTTGCGTTTGGAGGAAGAGGGCCGCATCACAAACATGCTTACATTATTACTTAGGGCGATCGGAAGACGGAGTTTTTTCAGCTTCTTAACTAAACAGAACTACATCATTTACGTATTCTAAGTCAAGAAATGGGTGGTCTGGTACAGGACCAATCCCTAAAAAGTCAAAGATGACGGTATTATCTCTAAAAGTACGTCTATGACAAAGTAAGATAAAAATGGGGAAAGCGGACAACTTTGACGAGTATCACTTGAAGTAATCAATTCCTATGAAAGTCCACCATAAACTATGATTCGACCAGTAATGTTCAAATAGAGAGCCTGTACAAGGTTATCGTACTTCTTAGGCACACCTTTAAATGAGACTGCCATAGAACCTCATGGTCAACAGTCAAATGTCGTCTTAAAGTTAAGGAATACAACTACTGTCGGGCGTCGAAAATCAAGTGTGCGTTACAAAATCTGTTAAGGAGTGAGTATTTGATTCATACATCCGAGTCCAGGTTCACGTATCACTGATTCATCCACTTCATAAACTCGCCATTGGATTACTACAAAAAGCTACTGTTAGTCCGTTGATATAATTACATACAAAACACTGGTTATAAGTACGACTGAATGGAGTAACAACCAGCTGAAAAGTCAGGCTAATTTGAAAAAGGACTATTTAATGAATTAAAAAGCCATTACATAATTCGCATCAATAGAACACTACTTGTAAAATAGACAGTATTTATTAAATGCACAAACTATGAAATACTAATCTATATATGGATTGCTATTGTTTTAGACAGGTATTTTATGAGACAACCATTACATAGAATGTCAGAATAACCATTGTCTAGATTATTAAATTAAGCATCCTGATAAACTTAAATTTAGAGCTGATTTTTTAAAAAGACCTGACTAACATTTACTCTATTTTGTCAACCAAAATTACCAACAGTTAAAATTAGTCTAGACAGTATATTCAGAACTTAAACTTTGTAATCTATGTTATTTCAATATTTTTTATGAACCACAGTTCATATAAACAAAGGATAGTGACTGAATAGAAATCCCTTCCTCATGCTGCTTTGGGTATGCAACTAACTACATAAGCATTTTCGAATTTTGAAAATTACCAAGCCTGATAGTAAATCTTTATGCGCCGATCAGTATAATGAATGGTAATTTTTGGGATCCATTCTTAAACCAATATTATGTGTATATTTTTATCGTATAATTGTTAAATGAATAAATTATTCATATTCATGTCCCTCTTATTATGAGCTTTATTTTGACCTATGGACTATTATTATACGATTTACCATTCTTGAACTATGCCGTCTATTAATTACTATCTCCCACATTCATAGCCACTTTTGGCTAAATGTTGTACAAATGTTGTTTCCTATTTTATGGTACGATGTGGTCTGTCTGGTTGGTATATAAACTCAGTATGTTTGAAATGCGGGATTCATATCACAGATGCTGAGATTGGTGTTCTGGACTTAACAGGCAGGGCTAGGTGGAGAGCAGGACCGATAAGTACTCTAGACTGCTCGTACTTGTTTTTATGCGTCATTGGTCCGGTCGATAAATCACTGTTCTCTAATTGGCGGTATCACTGCGTTATACATTAATAGGACACAAGGAACAAGTTATAACAACTTGGCACTTTTTCTAAGGGACACCTGATTTCTCCATATTTTATAGTTTAATATTTATGTCAAGGTATTTCAAAACTTGTTAGTTGAATTCGTTATCTTCTTACTTAATTAACGTGATAATTTTGATAATTTCATATTGAATATCAAGATTAATTACAGGAAAAAATAAAACGGAATCAGTAACTTAGCTCAATTAAACTCTGAACTTAATGGTTGATTTTTGGAGTCATTTAAACAGAGGTGTTACAATACGTCGACTAAATGAGTTTAACTGAAGGGTCTATATATATATATATATATATATATATATATATATATATATATATATTCAAGTCAACATAAATCATATCAGCGTACCGAGAATAAATCAATAAGATGAAAAGCAAAGGATGGGAAGAACTGCAGAGAACAATGGAGGTCCAAGTATCAGAAATACATTTCAAAAGGACGGAACTTAAGGATGAGAAATCGAAAATGACATTTAACTGAAGACTTAGAGGAGGATAGATGTATTCTCAGACTGGAAAACGTGTTTGAATGAACAAAGTAATGATATGAAAAATTACCGATTCACTGGACTCTAGTTGGCGCTGATATATATTCCAAACATTAGCTGCGATTGCGGCTTTAGATCGCTCACTATCACCAGCAAGGCTCGTGTAGGCAAGAAGAACACCTTCAGGATTAAATAACATAACTGATTGTATTCCGCCAGTATTCATCTTTCTTAAGGCAGAAGTAAGAGCACGTGGGCGGAGCATCTGGAATAAGGTAACTACTTAAGTTGTGCATTTAACGTAAATTTCAAAGATGAAATGTCATCTTAAATAATCAATTGTCATAAAGTCAAAGAATAACCAGATTAACTTCAATAAAGCCAGATTTAAATACTTACTATGTTCAAAGCCCAGTTATCATACAGTTTCCACGAAAACAGTGAAAAATGTATGGTTTATTTTTGCAACTAAATATAGTTAACCAATATCACAAGAACCAGCAAAGTATTGATTCGAACGGAAATGAAGGAAATTTGTTTTGCTTTTGGCAACAAAGATAACCAACATAAATGTTAAAACGAAAATTATTCGCTCTTTGAAAGACTTGCTACCAGCACATGTTTTCAAAAAATTTGCATACTGCAATTTGGCCATTATGATCTACATTAGCTTGTGATAATGACAACTATTATATGCCTCAATACAGAAGACTACACTAATTTATGCACTGCAGGAACTGCCAAATCTCCATGGATAAATCCAATTAGTAGCTTTCAGTAACCCTTATAAGATTTCCAGGACACTATCCCAGTTTACTTTAGCGCAGAGATTCTGGCAGGTAGTTATGGACAAAAGATATAATTATGAAGATTAGTTCATAGATTTGAGTAGTATTTTTCAAGACATAATTCAGATGTCAATTCCAAAGATAGTCAATAATTAGCATTTGCGAAAACCAAGTATTTTAGCACCGAACTTAATCCGTTCCGTTTTCCTCTTTAAGAAACCAATTTGTTAAGGTGAACAAAATATCATTTTAGGATTAGCTTATGTTGTCACAATACTAGGAGGACTATATAATAGCTTATTAAGGTTACTGACGATTTCTGAAAGGTCGTTTTGAATGATCCTTCAAAATAATTTTAACCTAAAGTATCCATATACTTAGAATGTCAATTCATTACTTATGACAATCCACTTACGTATGTACTTAAGAGCGAGTGACACCGTCAAGAGAAAATCTGAAACGCGTACTTCTCACTTGGTCGCTTTTCAAGGTTCAAACTCCAAACTTTTCTCGGCAGAATTAGCTGACTGTATGTTCGTAGGACTATGTATTTGGGTCGTAGAAGAATATTCCTGGCTATGAAGAAATACAATTATTGTAGTATTCTGACCAGAAATTCGGAATTCCGATTTAGACTTGCTTATTTGAGACAGAAGGTCGACGGTCTGTGTTAATCGCTTTTGCTAAGCTTCTGTTAGTGTCCAGTGCTCTCTTGAATGAGTCAGTTGAAACTGTAGGGACTACTTTTTCCACCAGCAGGTTCTGAGGGTCTATGACTTGTTGTATAAACCTGTAAGGTAGATGTATTGTGTTCGGTCTTGGCTATTAAACGTGCTTGCTGTCATCTGAGTTGTCCTGATCTAATAAAAAGGAATAGAGAAAATATGTCAGACCTGAAATCACCTTCAAGAATTCTATTCAGTTAAACCGGACTACCCTCTAATCTGAAATGAAGCAGAGTCAAGAGGTCTAACTTCTAAAGCGGGCGTGCGTAAGAAGGAAATGCTCTGATGCTTTCCTAAGAAGTATATAAAGCACTTGTAGAATGGAGGTCTCATGGATCCAAAATCATCAAATCATCTTTCAAAAGAGGAGGGAATCACAATGAATGTTATCCAGTGTTATGTACCCACCAATGGTAGCAACAACGACTTTAAAGATCAGTTTTTCGAAAGGCTGCAATCGACAGCTTGGCCATCCTGATGGGAGATCTAAACACCAAAGTCCTAATGAACAACACCGATTATCGAGATATTACGTGGTGACATGGACTGACTGGGAGAAAGGAACGAGAATGGCGACAGATTCTCAAACTCAACGGACCACACCATGAAGAACCAGATAAATCATATTTCCATCAACAAAATTTCGCAAGGTCAATGGAAGATATGAGGACCAGGGGAGGAGCTGACATAGCTTCAGACCAACACCTAGTTGTATCCAATTTAAAACTGAAGCTAAAGAAGAACTGGAAAACTCGATAAACAGCAGTGAAAAGATTCAACAAAGCCTTCATTCAAGATATTGACAAACTCAACAAATTCAAGATAGTTCTGAACAAGAGGTGCCAAGGTTTACATGATCTACTGAAAGAAGAAGAAACTTCTATGGAGGACAACTAGGAAGGGATCAAAGAAGTACTAACGTCAACGTGTCAGGAGGTGATGGGCCACAAGAAGTATCATAATAAGGAATGGATCTCTATCAAAACCCCTGGCAAAATTCAAGAAAGGAAGAACAAAGAGATGGTAATTCATAACAGTCGAACAACGCACAATCTGAATGCACAGAGGCAAACAAGATAGTGAAAAAGAGCTGACAAGCAGGAATATGTGGAAGACCTAGAAATGACGGCGGAAAAAGCTGCGAGAGAAAGAAATATGAAAAATCCATATTATACAACAAAGAAACTAGCAGAGAAATATAGTAAACCAGAGAGACCGGTCAAGAAGAAAGAATGTAAGACAATCAACGAGATTCAAGAACAGAAGAACAGGTGAATAGAATGCTCTTTAATCGACTAGCTCCACTGAATCCACCATTCATCGAGGCAGTACTCACAGACATTCCTGTAGATGTTACTCCACCAGCGACCGAAGAAATAAGAATAGCTGGTCATCAGACAATTCATGAGAGCAGCAGGATCTGACAATATACCAGCCGAAACACCGAAGTCGGACATAGAAGTAACTGCAAGTATGCCTCACACTTTATTCAGAAGGATTAGGGATGAAGAACAACTGCCACTGACAGACCGGAAAGAAGAATATCTCATCGAAATACCAAAGAAGAGAGACCTTAGCAAGTGTGAGAACTACAAAGGCATCACACCACTATCGGTACCAGGTAAAGTTTGAACAGAACGTTTCTGAACCGGATAAAAGACTTGTGACGGTATTGGTTCTAATCACACAATCCTCAAACCTGACCATGAGATAACTGGGAAAGTAGATGTTTACCATTTAACACATAGAGACGTCTAGCAAAAGTGAACGCGGGAATATTCAGTTAATTCAATCGAATGGTTAGGCTCAGCCTCCCAGACGTGGTCATTTTGTATAACTTGTCTTTATTCACTCTAATGATATTATTCTATATTTAACCAAAGGGTGTTCTTCAGAAGTACTGAGTGTTAAATTGTCAATGGTTACGATACGAGTCAGTGTAGACAAAGATATGACTTCCACGTAAGGTCTTATAGATTAGGTAGTCACATCATGACATATTTACAATTTTATGATGAGGTTTATTATAATAATTGTACTAATAATGATGTAGACCATAATTCTACAGACTCAGTAGAAGGCCAACTTCAAGATTAACAGTTCAGATTCTGTGAATATCGCTCGTGAACAAACCGAATCACGATACTAGGGATCATCGTTAAACAATCAACATAACGTAACTCGTCACTATACACCAACTTCCTTGATTACGAGAAAGCATTTAACAGTGTGGATAAGAGAACATTCTGGAAACTTCTTCGTCACTATGGAGTACCCGAGAAAGTCGTCAACATTATCCGGAATTCGTATGACGGACTACACTGCGACGTCGTGCGTAGAGGACAGCTGGCAGATGCATTCCAAATGAGGGCCGAGATCAGACAAGGCTGATTACTGTCTCCTTTTCTCCTTCTTCTGTTGACTGACTGGATTATGTAGAGCTCTACATTTGACGGGAAGCACAGAGTACAGTGAACATCCTGGATGTGGCTGGACGATATAGACTTCGCAGATCACCAAGTTCTGTCTCATACGCCCGAACAAATACGAGACAAGACAACCAGTGTAGCAGCATTCTCAGCACTAATAGGCTACAACATACGCAAAGGAAATGGTTTGACACTTAAACACAACATGGAGGACACCAACATAAACACATTTGATATAGAAACTCTGGAAGAGCTGGGAACTCTTACGTAATCGGGCATCATCATCGGTGAACAAGGAGGATCTGCTACACATGTAAAGGCAAGGATTGGCAAAACAAGGATGGACTTCCTACAGTTGAATAGCATACCGAACTTAGAACAACTAATCGCTTATATCAAAGGATCATCAATTTCAAAGTCAATACAGTTCTACCGTACGGAGCTGAAACGTGGAGAACCATTACAACAATCCTAAAAAAGGTACAGGTATTATTAAACAATTGTCTACACAAGATACTCAATGTTCTTTAGTTGGATACCATCAACAACAGTCTACTATGAGAGAGAACAAACCGACATCCAGCTAAAGATGAAGTTATGAAAAGATACTAGAGGTCGATAGGACACATATTTCGGAAATCACCAAACTGCATCTTGAGGCAAGTGCTAACTTGAAATCCTGAAGGGAAACGGAAAAAAGGAGGACCGTGGCACTCACTGTCGGGAATCGAAAGTGGACATCAGAAAAATGAAAAGCAACTGGAAATAACTGTAAAAGGTTGTCTAGGACAGGGTTGGTTGGCGAATGCTGGTGGCATTGAGCTTTAACCACACAATTATCAAAGCGGAACATGAGACTATTGGGGAAATAGATATTCGAAATTTAACGCGGAGAAAAACCCAACGATGGCGAGGGCGGGAAGGATGAATTGCATTATTTCGAGTAGATCAGATGGCTTGGCTGAACCTTGCAAGCGTGCTTCCTGTTGAATGTTACTTTATATCTTTTACTCATATTAAAAATATTGTTCTATCTCCAGCCTGAATGTGTTTTCCATCATATATTGATAATTGTTACGATACAATGAGCCAGTGTAGGCAATAATGTGACTTCCCCGTAAGATCTTATGGATTAGGCATTTACATCATGACAAATGTGCAATTTCGGGATTAGGTCTATTATTAGAGCAGTACTAATGTCATAGGAGACCATGAATATACAAAGGTTTAATGAAACAATACCTTTTAACTCTACGTTCCGATGACTTGCCCTAGGTGACAAAATGTTATCAACTCTGTGGATGATGGATACATGATTTTCGACTCCACTACCTACAGTATCGAATCTATTGCTTTGGCGCAGCCGAAATTCGTGATACGGATTTTACTAACAGTGGTTGTATTGGTAGGCTTGGTTTCACAAAACACCATCACGCTTTGGTGCATGTTTCACAATATCTTTCTGAGTGCGCTAATCCAGCTCAGTAGTCTTTTAGCGGGACTTCTGACGGATCTTTTGTGATGTTGTTAAGCTTAAAAAGCTGAGGTGTTCTCTAACACTTTCCAAAATATTTGAGTCTATATTCGAGTCCACCCGTGTTTGTGGGGGCAGAACATTTTGTATGTATCAATCTCTTTATGATTGAGAATAAGTGAATCAATCTGTGATATAGATTGTTTTCCTGCGCTCACCACTCAGACTCACGTTTATAATATTATGCTGGATTAGCTGTTCTACTAAGACAACCTATAACATGCTAACTCGGACTTTTACACTGGGATTGTGTGGCTGGCATCGGATAGACAAATAAAGGAAAAAAAGTCAGACAACAAAGGATATAGTCATTAGTATTCTTAACACTTCACGCTCTATATACACACCCTTCTAATAAACCGCTTTCTTTGTATCAGCCTTGACTCTCTTTCCTTCATGTGAGTTTACTCCGACTTGTTAAACGACACAACTCATTGTTCTTTATTACTACATTCTCTAATATGGAGCCTCTGACTTCATTTCACTCTAACAAGATATAATATGAATTTATTCTAATTTATTATACCTCTGTCCGTTCTACTACACAATGTTAAGCAACGTTTGGCGTTCATATTCAAGTACCTTGATGCTCTTCTGTTTCTCTTTTTTCTCCTTCAGAATTTTGCTCTGAGGGCACAGCTATGAAACTCCTGACGTTTGGAACAAACTTAACGTACGCGTCCTCTTAAGGTCACAGTTTACAGAAAGCGCTCTACGATTTCACTTTATAACAACTATAAACTTAATAAGTTGGGAAGCATTTTGCGAACCAACAAATGTTGTGATTTATAGATCATGCCCGTAAAAATGACGTGTACCTGCGCATGCAGAAATATATATTTTTTTATTATTAGATTTAGACCGTAATCATTATATTTAAATCAAATAATGGTTGTAATTTTTCTCACTTTAAATATTCAAACGAGGACGTCACTGTTCTTGTTAGTGTTGTGTTACTTATCCAGACGGTTTGATTGAATTGTCTTAGTAGTTTCAAGCTGTATAATCAGCACTCTCGTCGTGTTACAGTTGATAGGCTTTGATTCATGGGATTATCAGGCACACTTAACGGAATGGTTATCAAAAGTAGGCCAAATGATAGATTTGATCAATCGCTTCTGACTTGAACCATGAGTCAAACCCATATACTTTCACACCGATTCACACAGTTGGATCCAGAACATTAGATCTATTTTTCGCTAGGTTCATCACGTCCTTGTGCGTAAATGCCGACTCAAAGTCATATGACAGGTGAGAGAACATATGTAATCAATTTAACCTATCAAGGCTTTTAGTTAAATGTTTTTTCCTTGATAGGGGAGACAGTCGTATAGATACCCGTGATTCCTGCACATCTTATACAGTTTAGAAATTACTGCTCACTTTTCATTCTCTGTATCAGTGAAGCCAACGTGCTGAAACCAGTACGTTTATTCACTCATATGAGGATGGGATTTATGGTTCTGGCTTATCTATCCTGTTGGGTCTCTCACTTTAGGTTAGTCATAATTATTTGGCATTGTATACTTTACTGCCAAGTATTCTCGGATAGTTTACTTTGCTCTACTTGTTCTCAACTAAAAACACGACTTGGACAGAAAGTAAATATATTTCAAAGCAGTGCACTAAATTACGTAAATTAAGTAGGAAAATATCTATATATACGTAATCTCTAGGCGGGAATATTTTAGACCTTTCTTAGTCCATCCATCAGATACGATTGGTAAAAACGTGGGACAAATAACTCGTTCCAACGTTATCTTATCTGAAACATGATCCAACCAAGTCCAAATCCTGCTAACACTTGTCCTATACGACGGTTGTCGTACTCAGAGAAGAGCAAGAGAGGAAACTATTGAATATGTTATATGGTTACCGAGTAACAATAATTAATAGAAGTTCTGGGATTTGCAGTTTGGCGATAATTAACGAGATGAAGACCTTGGACTACTTCAACATCGTTGGTCATTCTTGGCCTTATAAGTTGAAGAATAAGTTGCAAAAGCGTATTATGACACAATATTGGTTGTCCGTGTATTAGCCGTGAAACATTTTGATCATGTTTCCTGCTAGTGAATATTGAAGTATCTCACTTATAATAAATTATTACTGTGCAAATTGTTCTCTTGATATTTTTACCATGGTTAGGTTTTAATCTTTCTATATTAGCCTTCCTAACCGTGGTTTTGTGGTTTTATTCTTACTGTTGAAACTGTTGCTTTGTATCTAGACTCTGTGTAACCTACGTTTCAGATTATTTAAAAATTATGTGTTCATAACAGTCGACAAAAACATCTTGAATGATTTTTAAGTAAAAACACAAACTACCTACTTAATCCTCAAATTTTTTGATTGTGGCATTATCTGATTTTGGATTGTAAATATGTTCACAATTTGACCGTGATTCTGAATTGAGCACAAACAGGAATTGTGGGTTGAATGGTAAATAAACCACTCACTCTTAAAGGCTGAAAGGTTAGTTCCTCACGGAATTCAAACCAGTCATTTAATAAGTAAGGGAGGATGAAATTGTGTTTCTAGATGTTATCTTACGACTTGAAGCCGTAAACGGTGTGATAATTATGATAATTAGGAGTATTTGAATTAAATACAAACTAAAACTCCCAGAAATATCGCGAATGGACAAAGAAGTAATAGATAAACACGAACAAATGTACTTCATGTGCGACTCGAAATCAAGCATTCAGAAAGCCCATAGTTTGTAACAGCTTAGGTTGGTTGGTTAAGAGTTGACCTCAAACAACCAAGCATATTCCAAAACAATATAGTTCAAATATTTATTCACTTCCTTATTTTGTATAAGCGTTATATTTCCTATTATCTTATATTGAATGTTGAGAGGCTTTGTTTGTCTAATTAAATAACTCCACGCTCCGCTGTGACTGCGCGAAGATCGAAATAAAGACCTATTCACTACTTGTCTGATTTCTTCTATCAATAGCACGAGGGTTACCTTAAGGCACGAAAAGTTCATACAAACACCACAATGATTCTAGTGTTATATTATATAACAGGTCAGACTGTATTCTGACTAGTGCTAGTTTAGCTAAGGAAGTGAACAACGTAGAAGTGGGAGATACCTTGCCTCCTCTAGCATAAATGTGGTACCGAATCTCGAAATGTGAAAGGGTTTTCTTCGAAGTTAAATTTTTTCGGATGATATGGTTGTAGAGATGAAAACGTGTTATGATGGTCAGTGCCAATCCGTGGGACGGGTGAGGTTTCTAGCGAACGAGTTATTGGTTAGCCTGTAGTGGCATTGGGCTCTAACCACATAATCATAAAAGCTGAACATGAGACAATTGGGGAAATAGATATTCAACATTTAACGTGAAGAAAAGTCCAACGAATAGGTCTATTATTAGAGCAGTATTAATATCGAAGTAGACCATAATTCTACAAACCTTCTTGCGTCTGAAGATTGTGAGTATGTCAAGGATGAGAAGATCCGCATGCTACTTGAATATACTGTCATTGTGGTCTGTCGAGTGTTAGACGAAAGTTTCAAGATTATGTTCTAGTTCAGTATTAAGTGCATTTATCTTTGCCACAAGAATAATAGACCTAATCCCAAAATTGTAGATTTACCTTGGTATGACCACTAATCTATAAGACCTTACGTGGAAGTCATATCTTTGTCTATACTGATTCGTTCTGTGGTGATACTCGGTAGTATGATATATAGCCCTACTCAAGAACACACTTAGGCTAGAGACAAAATGATACATCTAATATAAAAAGGAAAGAGCTATACAAAATGACCACTCCAACCGTGTTCAAGCCATGCCATTTGAATCAAAAGTCCTTGCCCTACCCTTTTCTGACCTCATCTATGAAGTTAAGTGTTAAATCGGAGTCTTTTCATTTATCGCACACTCGCCACCAAGGATCATGTGGCTGAGATCAATACCACCCTAAGGTTAGGCAACGGTGACTAACTCTATGCATCCAGAATGCCAATGAGGTGGAAAATAAGAGGTTCAGTGCCTAAGGTAGGTCAGATTTCGTGTTCAAAAGGGGTAAACAAAGTTTTTCGAGGAGAAAGTAATGAGCCAGGAATATCACTATTACCTGAGTATGCTTTCTGCTTAAAATGAGTTAGTGAAGATAAGATGATCGGTTCGAGGAGTGATATTAAAGCAACGGATATTGATTTGGATAATAAAATAATGTGATGAGATCGATGAGTTCACCAATGACAGTATTAAATGCTCACCACCACCTTGACTAGCTTTGATCTTGTATGATTAAGCTTTGTTTTTAGTCAACCACAATCTTAAACATTCTTCGTAAACGGTGTTAGGTCTCGCCTATTTGTTTCTGCTGTCATCTAGCCACTATCAAGTACTTCATTTGCATCTTTCTTCTCTCTTTAAAAGACCGTAAGGATTTCTGCCTTTTTCATACTAACGTTGTTAATTTGTTTTAAAAAGCGATAAAGTTTGTCAAGCTAAATAACTCACTTGTTTTGATTTCAGCCAAGTTACGACAGCTCAGACACTAGCTTAGAATTGTATAGGTGGATAACTTATTACTACAGTGTGCCGTCGCTAAGTAAGTTGAATCTTGTTGGGGACGTTAGATCCTCAGAACTCACTTGGGAAAGGACCTGATTTTGTAATTTCATTTAGAAAATTTGAATTTCTTTGTTTTCGCGCCAAAGGAACTCTTGTCACCATGTCATATTTTCCACTGGGAAATATCTTAAATATTGTTGGCCTGTTGCGTCTTTTAGTATGCTATTTGGTAACTCTGTAGAATTATGGTCTACTATGATATTAGTACTGCTCTAATAATAGACCTAATCCTAAATTTGTAGATTCGTCATGATATAACTGCCTAATCTATAAGATCTTACGTGGAAGTCACACCATCGACTACGCCAACTCAC